AGGATGAAAAATGGTGGAGTTATTTAAAAAAGTATAGAGAAAAGTCGCGTTTTGAGAAAACGGCTGAAAAATAAAAATAAAATATTGACTTTATGAGGAAATAGTGTTTACAAACATGCCCGGTATGTGAAGAAATGAGGTTTTGGGGGGTTTCTTTTGCAATTAAATAGTTGTAGGAGAGGTTGAGGAAGTTAAAAATGCCTACAACTCAAATTCCATAATTTTGAGCCGAATCGGGACTTTGGGGGTGTAGCCCCCCTTTAAAGATTTTGAGTTTCACATCATGTCAAGCTTTTTCGAATGCAATTCTATGAATATCTTGATAGTGACTCTGAATAATCTAACCCTTTTGAACATTTGGTTTCTGACCTCTTGCTCTTAGTAACTCAAAAAAGCCAAAAAAAGGCAGATAGAACTTTATAATTCTGAGGTAGCAGTACATATGTAAAAATCAACTGCATTGTGATTGGAAAATCTTACAATCAGTTACTTCCTCCCTAACCTCTGGCAGGGGTACAAGAAGAGAAAAAGAAGGAAGAATTGAATAATTGAACACACCACCGACAAAAAAGTCTCCTTGGAAAAAGTTGTTTCTATAGAACTTGGACAGCACTGAGTTGTTGTTTTTTCTTTTTTTCTTTTTTTTCTTTCTTTTTTTTCGGGGGGGGGGGGGTTCAATTGTGATGTCAAAACATGGCATAGTCAAGTTCTGAATCTGAGGACAAGGAAAGGAGGAGAAGAAGAAACCTTCCATGCCCTGGTCATCATTTTCAATGAGTGATGAGAATTATTATAAGCAAGACAAAGAAATGGCGGATGACGAGCATGAAACTAATTCAGATAGCAACAGACCATATTATCCAATTCTCATGCCAAGGAAGGGTGGTGCAAATGTTTCAGTGAGGGAGTGGGAAGAGTGAGTTGCCCCATTACTTTTTTTACCAACAATATAACAATGCAAGGCCATATTAAAACAAAATGTTATATTCATTCTGATGCATAATCAAGTTCAGCTACAACCATTTCTTATTCTAAAAATGCATACTTATTAATGACATAAGGGTTATGATTTTGCTGCATGCTCAGGAGACCCCCAATCTAGGAGCGTGGTCTTGCCACAGCCGAGAATATGAATGGGTCTCAAGAAATAACTGACTACTAATGTGCTCACCAAGCCAAGCTTTTCCAGAGAGGCAAATCCCTGCTTCTCGTCACTAACTAACTCCATACCCTTGAATTTGCGATATTTCGGGCCATACTTCAGAACGAAAAAGTCGCTGGTCGTGGGCTCAGCTCCTGAGCAGAAGGAAAAAATACATGTAAATAAATAAGAACATGCAAGAGTACAGAATAATGTGGTAGTGTGAGCATCAAGAACAATTGCATATATATATATACATGTGTTGGTATCTAAATTATAACAGTTGTGCATGTGTATGTTTGACTGTATGTGTGTGAGTGTGTGTGCGTGTGTTTATGACATGTGTGTTTATGCATACTTGATTTCATGAAGGTATGTGTATGTAGAGTTTGTGCATGTGTGAGAGAACGTACATCGGAGTGCTGCACTAACCTGTGTGGAGTCTCTCCACAGTATCCTCCAGACCCACCAGATAGTTGATCAACGTCGACTTACCAGTGCTCCACGGACCAACCATGAGGATTAAAGGCTTGGCAGGGATTTCATTGGCTGGTGATAAACAAAAATACATATGTACAGTCAAACCATGTTATATCATTCCCCATTATCAGAGCTGGTTGTAACGGAGTACAAGTACTTACGTTACAATTTTCGGTACTTTTACTGTACTCCGGTACATTTTGAGAATCAGTACTTTTACTGCACTCCTATACTTTTTATAAAAGTCCTTTTGAGTATTTTTAAAGTACATTTTGAGTACTTTTGAAGCTTAATGAAAGGGTAAGTGCCAGCATTTCTGATCATAATTTAGAAAACAAACACCCAGGCGGGCACAGCCGATCAACAGAGTTAAAACTTGAGATCAAAGAACAGCCCGTCGCATCAAAGATCAGCCACTCTCGTGAATGTGATCACAAGCGTTGTAAAACTCCATGAAACTGTACAATGTTTGCCCCAGACGGGATCACACCGAGGTGTGAACTGACCAATGCGTTTCTTTTCCCCAACCATCGCACTCGCATCTGAGCTCGCCAACTAAACTTACATCACTCGCTGGGTGGGTAGGGCCTACAAGTTCGCTCCAGGCAGGATCACATCGAACTGTGAACTCTTCCCTGACCCTTGAAGGCAGTTTTTTTCTATTCCCGAATTTGCGAGACAGCCTGAATTTTAATTGATGTGGTCACAACGTAATGGTGCGTAATGACAAAGATGGGGGGCTCAATCAGAGACGGAAGGCTAAAATATTTGGACAGGTAAAGGGGAGGGGCAACTGGATAAATATAGATAAAGATCTCGAGACTTACGATAGACTAATGAGTGTATGGCATGCCTCATGCCACCATGCAACTGAGATTGGTCATCAAGGTCGACCACTCTTTGCTCGCCAAATGTTAAAAACTCACCCAGGGGTCACGTCAGTTCATGGGTCACTGTAGATTCTTCCTTGGCTTTGTCGGCTAAGATCCCATATTTCCCTTGCTCCCGAGCACTGAGATCTTAGGCGGAGACTACTGTAGTAGAGAATCTTTGGTTACACTACACTTACTAGACTCTAGGAAACTAAGTGTTTTGGTTTGCCGTGGGAGCCGTGGACTGCACAGTGTGACCAAAATCTGTCTTACCACTATTATAATCAATTGAAACTGAAACTGAGTTCTCAATGTATATCTAAAAATTTTTTAGGCTATCTAAATTTCTTTTAAACTTTTTTGTGGTTTATGCTGAAGGCCACCTTGATTCCTTGAGGATTTGTTCATGAAGAATTCAAGGCACTTTTCCATTTCTTTGCTGGCAATTTTCATCAATTCTATGTTTTTGAAGAGCAACTTTGTCTCTATATTTTCCAATTTGGATACTTTTCCTACTTTCCGACCTCTTTGACTGACTTACATTTGATCAAATTGTCTAGCTCAAACAAGTTCTATTCATAATATCACTTTTTCACTAGTTGCATCTTTTTATTTGTTGGTTTTTTTTTTTCAATTTCACGGACCTTTTCCACCTACGTGCAGTGCATATATTCAAATGCTTTGTAGACTCTATACTGTTTACATTTTTAGTAAGAAATGGCCTAATTTGTCAAATATACTGGATATGTTATTTAATATGATGTTTTGCATTAGCACTGAAGTGTTTTAGAATATTAGCAGAAAGTACTTAAAATGTACTCATAAGTACTTTTTTAAAGTACTTGTACTCAAGTACATTTTACAGGAAAGTACTTTTTTACTGTACTTAAGTACATATTTTAGATTGTACTTAAATTTGTACTTAAGTATCTTTTTCAAAGTACTTTAACAGCTCTGCCCATTATACTACCAGCCCCACTTACCGTCAGGTTTTGCAAATGAGAGCGAACAACGAGCCTGCAAGATGGTGCTCCCGCCAGCTGTTGCCGAGGGATGTCAGTTACCAACCGACAAACCAAGACGACAGCTGAGGAACGCGTCAACCCACATGGAACACCAGGACCTCAACAACCCACCCGGGTTTTTCCTTGGCGGCCAGCATATCCCGGCCTGGCTGGCCCGCCTGCTGATGTTGGCCGGGGATGTGGAGCAGAATCCGGGACCCCGCTGGCCCTGTGGAGTATGTGGCGACAGTGTGCCTGCAAAAGCAATATCGGCCCGATGTCAGGAGTGTCCTCTGTAGGTCCACCTCCAATGCTCTGACCTCACCCGACAACAGATGCTAAGTCTGCCATCAACGAAGAAGGGAAGACGTATTACTGCAGAATGGACGTTCATCTCCTGTACAATTAGAGCGGCACAACCTCCACTACGAGCAGCAACACAACCCATCAACACGCCTCCACCACAACTCGACCCAAACCAACCTATGACTCGACAACGGCACGTCAGACAATCGCGCCGTAAAAACCGTTGCACGGACCCTAATGCCAGGAACCATGAGCGCACCTACCGTATGAAGAAGCAGAACAACCAAGCCCTAAACATCCTCCAATGGAATATCAATACAATATACGCCACCAACGAAGACATAAATCAGGCTGAAAACAGTGTCCAAGCAACCATAAACTCACTTGAGCAGTGGACAAAGTAAAACAAGATGGAGATCAGTTCGGAGAAAACAAAGTGCACCCTCTTCACCACCAGCACCCACGAGGCCAAGCGAAAAGCAGCACTCTCGCTCAAATGCTCCCCCCATCACCTTCAACTCCAACCCCACCTTACTTGGGGTCACACTTGATCGTCTTCTTCCAACGCCCACATCCCAAACCTTGAGCTAAAACTATCCTGCAGACTTTGACCATTGAAAGCCCTTACAGGCATCATCTGGGGTGCCTCAAGGAAATGCATAAAGCCAATATATTATGCTACTCGTCGGTCAGCTATCGACTATTGTGCCCCTACCTACATGCCTCTTGCCAAACCCTACAACCTGCAGAAACTAAAAAGAAAGCAGGACGAAGGAGCAAGAATCATCACGGGCAACTCAAAGGACACTCGTGTGGACAGCCTCCTCAACGAAGCAGACATTTTATCACTAAGGCATAGAGCTGATGCCTTGACTGCCATGTCACTCGAGAAGTCCATGCGTCTGCCTGCAACGAACCAACGCAGAGCCTCCGCATCAAAATCAGTGCCCACGCGGACAGGCAAATCGAACTGGAGAAAGCATGCCCAGAACCTCGTAACCGAAACTGAATTGGATATGTACTCATGTGACGAGTTGGTTGTTTTACCCCCACACAACCGTGGAAGGCTGCATCATGCAACGTGACATCATGCAACGTGACTTTTAGCACCGATCTTGTCGTCGACTACAAGCGTGCTAATAAACCAGCCATCAGGAAAGCAGCAGCAGATACCATTCGATCCCTCCCCCTGCCCGATGTAGAAGCCCGGACTGACGGTTCAGCTAAGCACAGTACCGAGTATGGAGGCAGTGGAATACTGATCAAGACCGGTGATACCGAACTCGACCACCGTGTACCCGCGGGCCGGTATTGTTCCAGCTACAGGGCCGAGCTTGTTGCTCAAGACACAGTGCTGGGCATGCTTGTGGCACTCCACACAGCAGGCAGCCTTCCGAACAGAGTACCCATTCATATTCATATATTCACTGATTCCGGGTCAGCAGTCATGCGCCTGTCATACGGCCCTACCAACCAATCGGAAAAGGTGGCATGCTCAATCTGGCAGCATCTGAACACACTCTGTCAATGCTCCGAATGTTCCATCCACTTACAGTAGATTCCAGGCCACGTTGGACTGGCTGGGAACGAGGAAGTTGACAGCATCGCCAAAGAAGCAACAGCGCTTACATAGATTGACACGCCAATCGATTTCTCGACAGCTAAAGCCATCATCCACCGGTCGACCCACAACAAAGTGGAAAAGAGAGCTGAAACCCAAACTGCCGTCTGCCAAGCTGCCATCATACCAGCTTGAGGCCTCGCTCAGACGACAGGACCGCCGGCTTCTCTCCCAACTGGTGGAGGACAAAACTATGGACCATGTGTTCCTGAGATGTCCTGCAAACTTTCGTGCCAGAACCCGTCTGCTGGGACATTTCAGTAACCCACTTTCAGCACTTTTTAAGGACCCCCGGGCAAGTGTTGAGTTCCTGCGTGCTGTCGGCATCGCTGACCATTTATGACACCACAGCGCCAGAAGAAAGAGGGAGAGAGAGGTTTTGCAAATGTACCAAAAGGGACACTTATAAACATAGTATCTGTGCCTTTCCACTGCTATCCGCCAACTGTCTGAGTTGTATTAAGGTCCTACCAATGTATATTTGCCCTGCTGTACTTCCAGCGAATTGGCAGTCGGAAGTGTCATTATTGTGATGCAAAGAAAACAAATGTAAATAGGGAAAGAGAAGCAGCCATTTGTACATGTGATTATCTTATTCCAGGGGCCGGATGTTGGGTTTTTTGTTTGTTTATTGTTTTGTTTTTTTGGGGGGTGGTTCTCTTGTTTTTTCGAGGGGGGTGGGGGGGGGGTGTTCCTCTTGCCCAATTCTAACAGATAGATGCCATCTGATTAGTGTAATGTTGTGTAGGTGATAATATGTTAGCTCTAGTCAACATACAATGATGAAAAGGTTAGTTTTGTAGTTGGTAGACTTTACATTGTTACTTTTTCTTAGCAAAGAATTCCCTTTTAGAGACTGGCCGAAATCCTACATGTTATGAAGAACAGGTTCAGGATAGTAATAAGAATCTTGTTATTAAGAACATCACAATGATACCATGTACTTCCAGCTATGCAGATAGTAGGTATGGTTGCATGTATGCATGTTGATGATGCTGTGATGCAGATGATGATGATGTAGATGACCATTAAACCAGGTTCAAATATATATATGTATATTTATATTTATATAACATATATTAAAATATATATATATATATATTCACTTTTGATGAGATCTGCCATTCTTCTATCAAGAAGCCATTCGAACTCTTTTGCTCCGCAATGGTCCACTCTCTACTAGTCTACAACTATACTTAAGCCCAACTTTGCAGAATGCTCACAAGTTGTTGCATAGTGTGTAATCTCTGTTGAAAGGGAAGTGCACTGACAGACATGTTGAAAATACCAGATATATGCCTTCATGCGAATACAGACGGCCAACTCCCCACACGCAAAGGAAGTTTGCTGGTAAGATCTACAGCTGAACACTTCTGGTACTCTTGGAATAATGCATCCTTGGCTTAAACTCTTAAACTTGTAGAGAGGCAGAGAGGCAGTTGGTTTACGCTTATACCGTGCGCGCCACATCTTTTCACTTTGTTTCTTTGTATGAACTGTTTTCTATATGTGCCAGTTTTTCAAACAAAGTACATTATGTATTACTTATATATACAAGAAAAGTATCAGGACCTGAAAATCCATTCCCTATTCACTTTTTTTGCTATATGCGTACTAGACTGTATAATTAATCAATTTGAGAGAAATGCTGCTTTGTGAAAGGCAAAGAAAAAAAACAATAGTCAGGAGGTTAAAATAATGTTCTACAAGACATGCTTTCCATCATCTGTACATTGGCAAGGAAACATTTTTAATGTTGACACTTATTGGATTGAAAAGACAACCAATACTGTCTGAGAATATAAACAACACTGACTGACAAAAAAATGTTTTATGCCCTAATCAAGATGATTCTGATCATCTACGAGGCAGCTGCTTTGATCATGCCTGTCAAAGCCAACCCAGTTGGAGTGGGAAACAGCATCTGAACAGAAACAGTTTTTAAAAAATAAACTTTTCCACCCATCAAGAATCAGACTCACTTCTTCTACAAGCAAGATGAAAGAGTCTGATCAGCCCACCATGAACACCTGTTAAAACACTTTATCTGGCCTGGTCGACAGCTCACTTGGCGAGTGCTTGTACTAATTATTGTCCATAAAAGAAAAATTCATTCCATTTTATACTAGTAAATAAACAATACCAGATTGGAGGGAGGGGGGGGGACGTGAATGTTTACTCGGTGATACAGAGGTGCCAGCTCATAACGAAAAATAAATTCTAAACTTTTCGAAAAGGGACTCAAGGTTTACAGATCCTATAGTCCGAGATTTTTTTGCATCAAAACTATAATTTTTAAATAAAGTGCAAAATGACAATATTCAGACAACTTCAACAATTTCAAAAAATCAGGATTTCCAGATAAATCTGAATAATCGGCTTTTCTGAGAATACTTGTGAATAAGTGCAGCCTTCCCAGAACCATAATTACCTAACATGACATCCTTGTGAATCTCCCCAAAAGCGTAAGCATTTTCCAAGGGCTTGATCAAGTTCTCATAGATGTCTTGTAAGTCTTTCAGAGCTGTGATGGTCACATTATCTGTGGATGCACATTTCATCTCAGTATCTCATTTCAGTTCAATAATTATCTTACAACAATTTGGATAGAATTAATATCTTCCAAAAATACTGCTAAACACGAGTAAAATTTTAGGTCTGCAGAGGTTTGAGCTAGAAAGAGGAGAAAATGTAGAGGCAATACCAAAAGAAATATTAAATAACGTCAATTTAATTTTGTGCACAGATGTTCACAGGTATCGATTCACCATTAGAGTTCTTTCCAGTGTACAGCCTGTTTATTTTGCTTTGATTTCCCCAGTCACCTACACCACTGACAGGAGAGATGAGAAGAGAGGGAGAGAGAGAAACAGAGACACAGAGTCTAGAGAGAGAAAGAAAGAGAAAAAAAATGCCATTGCTTTTCCTTCTATCACTATCCATGTACAATCCAATTTTTTTAATTACATCAAAAACTATGCATATGGCATACAAACACATAGAGAATAGTAATTATGCATGCATACATTCTATATAGACCTCTATGTACAGAGAGATATTTATGTCTACATAGCATCAGCTGCTAGTGCTCTCTTCGTATTAGTGTCAAGTATGAATGTGGGTATTTGTGAGTGTGTGTGTAATGGAGAGATTAGCAGCAGTATTAGTGGAACATGTAGTAACAGAAGTAATTAGAGTTGGTATTGGAAGTAGTAGTAGAAGCTACAGCAGTGGTAATACTACATATGTGAAGCAGCGTGGTGGAATCAGGCTCTCGTCAAAATAATCAATGTTAAGAAACTTGCATTTTTCCGCAGGTTTGTGAATTTTTAACAAATTTTGTTTTTTTGGCTCAACACTTTTCATGCCCATTGAAGAACTCATTTCTGTGTGGATTTTTCAGAAAAACGTTGAATAAAGGCATTAAAAAAGTCGATTTTCAGTTACCACGTACTCTTAAGCTAAGGAAATAACTAATCTGTGGCGGGCATTTTCTCACTAATTTTACCTCTGAAAACAGGTGACCCCCACCTCCTGCTTTCGTAAAGATCTCGACTTGTATTCAAGATAAATGGATATTTTTTTCATCCAAATAAAGACAGGTGAACAAGCTTTAAGATGGTACCAATAACTCTATATGCCCTAAAATTGACGAGAGCCTGATTCCACCACGCTGCCTCACATATATATTATATATACGGGACTTTTTAAAAACTGTAGAAATCTGGCTCCTTGGCATAGCACTTAAATTTAAGAAAAATGAAGTTGCTGTGTTATCAATTTTTGTACGATGGAGTGGGCATGTCTTCGCCACTCTGGTGTAAAATATTGCAGCTTAATTCTGAACAATATCGAAAGATATAGGTTTCTATCAATGTACTGTGCTTAAGAATATTCCTTTCCATTACCAACTTAACATTGATTGGAGTTTAATTGTTTAATCAGGTCAATCACTGGGGCAGTGTTTATTATTTACAACATTTTGTTTATATCAAGCTTTTCACATTCCACTATAGTAGGACCGAGAAGTGAAAACTGCCAATATTTAATTACAGTTTTTGCTTTTCATAATTTAGAAACAAAACCAGATACATGCATAAAACCACCTGTACAGGCAGCGGTCAGCATTGACCTGTGCTGGAATCCACAAGTAATGGCATTGTATTAATGGTTTTCATTTTATAACCCTTGAATGTGTTGGTAACAAAGAGGAAAATTGGTCACAGAAAAGAAATTGAGGTAACGGATAAGAAAATATGGTAACAGAAAGGAAGTATGTATACGACAAACCCCACGTTATATGGAGAGTAAAAAAATTTTAACATCTTGATTTAACAGATGCTGGACCAGGACAGTGCCTAATCGAGACACTTAAATGCGTTCAAAGCTGGGCTTATGAATTCACTTATGAATTTAACTTTCCATAATGATCCATGCTTTTAAACTGTTTTTTCACACTGTCTTAACAGATTTCATTTCACCACTTATTGAATTTTCGCTCTCTTTCACAACCTCCAATGCAAGCCATTTTTCCATCTAGATATGACACAGTTTTTCAGTCTACACGTTTCACATTCCATAAACATACAGGATCTGTTGTCAGCTGAGCACGCGAAATGACGCAAGACAGAAAAGTTGTACCGACAGCTTTCATTTCATACATAGCCTAGGCAAAGGGACTGGTATGGGAACAGACCTTACACATGTATGTCTGCCTTTCTGAATCTTTTGGACTTGCAGCCCAGACTGATTTGAACTCATAAAATGACACAGGGTTTATAATTGTTGTTGAGTTCTCTGTGAAAAATGGCTAGTAAAGATTGTGCAAGGGGTCAGTGCATGTTCATGAGTCTATTTTTGTTTCTCCACACCTTTATTTTAGACTGTACTTTTTTTTCCATGAGAGAATCATCTTTGATACTTATTCAATATGAATGAATCACTTCCATTTTTCCACTACTGACTGGAACTAATCGTGACCCTTTTTGAGTAAAGATGTGGATTTTCAAGACGGGCGGTTTCGTTTTTATCGATTACATTGGTCTACAAAATTCTGAAAAATTTTCGTTTGGCATTTGTATTTAATTTTCATAAAGAATTTGCGTTGTAGAATTATTCTAATCTGGTGTCAGATTTTCTCTATCAGGTCAGGGTTTTTAATACGATGGAATGCATATTTTTGTTTTCTCTTTTAACATTACAACTTAATAAAACCCTTTTCATCGTGCTCGTATAAGAATCGAAAATACAATTTTATGCTGTTACGTTCAGCTCATTAAGTAACATAATTATTACTTTTCTTGAATGAAATCATCATCTGTTCAAATAATAGGCTACATAATATGTCATCACATGTGACTCTCTTAAGGTCCAGTCCAGCTAAAACGCCCACTTTCAACTTAATTAACACAACCGACGTTTATAAATTGCTTTTTCCGTCAAGACATTGTTACAGCACAACAGAAAAACACTGGGTGGACAGTGAACACTATATTACATTCAATCAATTCATTCTCAAAAGGGTAGCGATATTTCGACGGCATGCCGTCTGAAAATCGTAGTTGATATTTCCACGGCATCCTGTCTGAACATCGGAAGTGATACCTATACGGTATGCCGTCTTGAGTCTAAAGATCGGAATTGATATTTCGACGGCATAGGCTCTGCTTGAAGTGTATCAATGCAAGAATTGTGTTTGTTTTCCAGGCGACGAGTCGGGTGATCATACCTACCCGACCCGACCCGATCCCATCCGCAAATGCGCACCCTACTGTTGGAAAAAAAACCCAGTCTTCTCTCCATTTTGCTTGCACAAAATAAATTGTGCATCTCTCACTCTCGTTACAATCACACAAAACATTTCATTATTGTCCATAATGCACAAAATGATAGAAAAGGATATACATTGTTAACTAAACATACTGGTATCTTAAATTGTATCTCTATAATAATGCGTTACTTTTGGAAAAGAGATTATAGGCTTTATTATAAATAGTCTGGACGTTCTGATTGACTGAATTTATGTGCCGTGGAATTATCACTTCCGATTTTTTGACGGCCTGCCGTATAAATATCCACTTCCTTCTCAAAATGACACAACTATATAAACAGGGGAAATCACTTACATTAACTTAAACAAATGATCATTAAATGATTACCTCCCTTTGAAGTTTCCTAGTCACTTTACTTTACATATACAATTCAAAAATATTATTTAGCTTCTTTGCATTGTCTTTCGAATTTTAGATTACATTATTTGTACCACTACTTATATTACTATTACCAATCGACTGCAGAAATAAAATGAGTCTAAACTTTAAAACAGTATGTCATAGAAAAAAGGGATAACAGATATTATATAACACACTTGTAAAATTACTTTTCCGAAAATAAAAGTTACTTCCCTTGTTTAATAGAACCTGTTATTTTTACCTCCCCTGACAAAATCAAGATTACCTTTTCATATATATATTTGACCTGTATCAACTCACGGTGAGCTTCACTCAGTATTAATTAAATCTACTGGGTAGATTTGCAGGCCAGACAAAAACTGCCTGCGGGCCATGTGATGGTATCTGACCCATGAGCCAGAGTTTGCCTATATACAGGGGCGAAGGCTGACTTGTTTGACAGGGTAATCAAAGTGAAACGGGACCAGATATGGCCTGTAGATATGACACAAGAATCTTACTCGAGGCGGCGACTCTGAGTTGTGAATGAAAACAAATCCGGAATTCATATTGTATGTTCAACCGCCAAAATAATCGGGAAAGTATCTTATTAAATATCAGTTCCAACTAAAATTAAATTTAACTTTAGATGTGAATACATAAACACAAAGCAAAGAAGCAGAGACGTCAGTACTAGATCTATATGTTATAGATCTACCAGTGAGTCTAACTCTTTGGTAGAACATGACAATTATCATTTTTTAAATTTTACATTTGGCTGTTTTTGTTAGCCTTCCGCGGCCAGGAGCTGGTGTCATAATCGAGGTCACGATCTGATTATAGGACGGTAAAAAGTCGAGGAAAAAAAGCAAGCACTTGCAACAGTGAAGAGATTGTTAGGAGTTAGTTCCCCTCACATTTGTGAGGTAGACTCGACCAGTGTTAGTTAGCTTACATAATCAGGGCTTGAGATTGATTTTAACTGTGACCCCAAAGGGGTGAACAGGGTATATGTGGCAATGAAACAGCTTAGACTGCTATGCACATGTTCCCTTCAACTATATTGGTGGACTCTTCCAGCGTCACTTTAAGCTTACTTAATCAAAGCTTGCGACTGCTTATGGAGTGGCCCGAGAGGGGTGAGGAGGCTATTTCTGTGGCCGTGAAACCGTTTTAAATGTTAGGCATACTGTTCATTGTTGATTACGAACGTCTTTTGACATTTAATTTAAGAGGTTTACGTTTATGGATGAATTTGACAGCGACAATGTTTCAAAATTAGGAAGGGAAGCAGTGATTATTTGATTATATAGACGCTTCGCCCCTGCCTATATATATATATTATACCTGCCTTAAAATTTACTTCTCGTATTCCCACTTCCGGTAACTGAGTAGGAAGTAACGGAAGGGGTAAAAGGTATGTTAGAAGAATCATGGAGTCTGAACCATTAGTAGAGGTTGCCTCATGCCGAGCATAAACATTTACTCATGAAGATCTTAACTATCGAAAACACATTAACACTTTAAGGCTTTGATAACAAATAACATGAAAAAGTGACGGTTTCGGAAAGGAATTATATATATATACTCCTCTATTGATATATATATATATATATATATTTCAAATCTGTTTTGAAATGGTGTGATGAAAGGGAGATAGATCTAGTTAATTAAAGGCAAAAAAGATCCAGGAGGGTCCTATCCTGACTTTAGCGAGGTAAAACTGTTGATATCGGAGAAGAATGGGAAATATTGCCACACCCCCTGCGGTCAGCTGCACTAAGCAATTAAGTTGAAAATCATTCTTATCAATTGAGTGTAAAATCTCATTACTTAAACAAGATAGAAGTAGCAGCAACATTATTAAATGGTATATTCCTTTTATCTATTTTAAGTAATTAAAAAATCTCATACGTTTTTCTGCTACTTTACCCACAAAAGCTCCCATATATATCTCCTAAAGTATGAGGCATGAAGGGTACACATTTCTCATGAAGTTAGTAAAATCTTCTATTAAAAAATGGTATACAAATATACAAAACAATAGGCCTACTTAACAAATTAACAAATTAAGCCCGCATTTTGTGTTCATAAGTTTCTACGATGACGATGATAAAAGCCTGGGGACAAGGATTTCTACAACATTTTGAAACGTCACATATTTTATATAAATATAGAATCTAGATCTAGATCTAGATCCAAACATCAAATCAGATGGTGAAGAAAAGCATTAACGTAGAATCTAGGCCTACCTTCAGTTGACGAACTGACGTGGAAGCACAGGATAAGCAGGAGAAATACATAACGTACAACTTTCAGTGAGGTAGCCAGCACCCCATGGAACAGCGGTTGTACTTTTAACGTCATGCTATTTCACCTTCCACTCTCACTCACTCTCAACAATAACCAACAAACAAGCGACCCTCCACCTCGGTACAAGAACGATACTTCAACTGTGCTTGAAAAAAATGGAGACAGAACCTTCTGCAATCTGCAATTTCACTTAGAATCTAGATCTAAATCTAGGGCCTCAAGTCTAGATTAAGATGTAGCCTAAGGCTTTCCGGGAAAATCTACCGTCAACGCTTAGTTTCAGTTTCTCTCCGGTGTAGTAGTTTAGGGCAACCCTCCAGTCTAGATTGTACCCGGTGTTAAAATGGGATAGCATATTCAGACCTCCTTCACTGAGGGTGTGACAATTAGATCTAGTAGCTACACTCTTTTTGGCTTAAGATGTGAAGGCAGTATCTTATTTCTCTTTTTTTTTTGGTACCCAATGTCTTCTTTCCATCTTTTCTTCACGTCTTCCTAATGACCTTTGGTCCGGTCTAACAAAAAGAAAATAGCGCTGAGTTGAGCTGCCTTCGAACTGATCTATTCATGTTACACGCCTTAATCAATAACATTACAATTTTATAGGTATCCGAAAGAAATGCAACGAGATACAATAGCAGAGACCGGAGAAGGTGAAGCGGAAAGAGAACTTGACGAAGACACAATGGAAGAAAAATCCACCCAATTTATTATAAAATCTTTGGATAAAAATAAAATCTGTTAACTGGCCTTTACTCTTTGGGGTTAAAACGTAACAGACAGACAGACAGACAGACAGACAGACAGACAGACAGACAGACAGACAGACA